GTGCCTGCCTGCAGAGGCCTTTGCTGCCTGCTGTGGTAACAGCAGTGGCTGTGGGCAGAACTGACTGTCCTCTGGATGTCCTCATGAGTTTCCTCTTAAAATGATTCTTCTTGGCAATTAAGGGCTCATATGATTGTTTTTATCATTCAACACATATTTATGAAATATCTACTATGTGCCAGTTAAGGAGGCCTTGCTGGGCCTGTGGTCAGACCCTGAGTGTCACACTCTGCTGGAAAGGGGCAGTTGGATAGAGCTCCACAGGCGTGGCAGATGGTGGATTCAATGGGAAAGCAGGGGAGAATTGTCCTTGGATATTTAGCAGCAGATGGAAATTGATATTCACAATCTGAAGGCCAGAGTAGTGATGAGAGAGAGAGAGACAGAGAGACAGAGACAGAGACAGAGACAGAGAGACAGAGACAGACAGCTGAACCTTGAACCATGTTTAAGAGCCGTGCTAGATTTGAAAGGTCCCCTGCCCCATGACGTACGGGTGCATTAAGAACAGCTCTGAGAAGGATGGAGAGCCTTGACCAAGACTGGACAACTTTGGACAAGAGAGTAAAGTGGTTTAATTTTGGATATTTTTAAGAAAAGCAACTAAAAAGGTTGATTAAGCAGACTTCTGCCTGTAGAGAGCCCAGCTAGAAGTGGGAAGTGAGTTGTCAGGGTTTAGGTGTGGGCTGGAAGGGCTTCCAGGACTACTGTGGTTGATGAGGGGACTTGAGGAAATCCAAGCTCTGGGACAGTGGTTCTCAACCTGTGGGTCGCAACCCCTTTGGGGGTCTCATATCAGATATTTATGATTCACAACAGCAAAATTAGAGTTATGAAGTAACGACAAAAGTAATTTTGTGGTTTGGGTGATCACAACATGAGGAACTATACTAAAGGATCGCAATGTTAGGAAGGTTAAAAACCACTGCTCTAGAGGGTTAGTTTATGTGCCTCAGAAAGGAACTGTGTTAGACAATGTAGTGTAAATGCCACTTCTAAAACTGATACAACAAATGGAAACATACATAAAAGGAGTGCAGGTCACAAAGTGCCTTGTGTTTGGGTAGAAAAGCTGGGTAGTCTACCCAATTAGTAAGTAGAGAAACTGGAGTTTTATAAGTCCAAGCAGTGTAGGCCATGGGGCAATGTGGGAGTCTGCTGGAGTCCAGCTTCGACCTGTTCTCACCTATTGAAGGGTTCATGGGTGGAGGAGAGAGGAGTGAGGAAATATTAGGTAGAAAGATAGAAAGAGATGATAAGAAAGACAGAATAGCTTTGGGAGGGCCCTGGATCAATACCTAGCCACCCAGAAATTTATTCAAAAGGACTTTTTATAATATGCCAAGGGGAGAGGCAAAAGACCTCCCCCTTGCAAGATCAAAGCACACCACACAGCCAAGTGTAGACCCTTCCAAACACCTGGTAACCATGCCCGTGGCCAAATCATCTCCTTATGCAGCCCTGCTATGTAAAGCAAGCTCAGATTCTCTGACCCTGAGTCAAGTCTCACTAGGAAGCCTCTGTGGGCCTCCATGGGGTAGGGGTGGCAAAGCTTATATCCTATTACCCACTCGTCAAAAAGCCAGGCAGGCAGTTCAGAAGAGACATGGCTTCCACAGCATGGGCATGGCAGGTAGTGTGGCCTGGGCTCACTGTTAGACTCACGCAGTGTGTGAAAGATGTGTCCACCTTGGCATTCCGGGGGAACAAGAAAAGTCTCTTGTCTTACTCGGGAGTTGCATCTCTGTGCTAGGGCTGCTGCTTTGTCTGCCACACAACCCTGTCAGCTGCCTGCTCTGTGTTCATCCTTCACTACCTCTCATGGCACCCCACCTGCCTACTCCATAGAAAATGGAGCCCCCCTCATGGCTGTGTGGCTCTCTCACAGGTCTGCACTGGACTTCTTCCTTGATATCTTTCCTTTTGTTTGTCATATCCCAAATGGGCAAGGTTGCCAGATTTAGCAAAGGGGGAAATAGATGCTCTTTAAATTAAAACTTTAGGCAAAAAAAAAAAATTGTATGGTCCATACTTCTATTTTTAAAATTGTTCATATGGAATTCAGTTGTCCCTGGGTGTCCTGTATTTTCACCTGGGAACCTCCTATGGGAATGGCAGTTCTAAAACTCTTTCCACCATTCTAAACCTTCCAATGGTTCCTACTGTTTCTATGGCGGAAGCCAGGAACTCAGGTTCATGTAGGTACTTAATGCAAAGATCCGAGTGGGCAAGAGGGAGGCAAAGTGTGTTTGAAGGTAAGGTAGAAGCAGAGCAACTATTTTCCCCATCCCAGATATTCACATGTAGATTTAAAAACTATATAATGATTCTCAACTAAAGCAAAACACACACACACACACACACACACACACACACACACACACACACACACACACACCACATACCTACCCTCTTCCCACCCACACCCAACAAGTACACACACAGTTGTCAGAGCGCCAAGATTCCCAGTGGAAACCTGGACTAAGCCAAACCACTTGGCCTTACTTGTAGGTCCTGGTTTGGGCTCTTTGCCTCTTTCTCTCACTACTGTCCAGCTTGGACCCTTCTCTAGCTTTTCTCTACCAGCTGACCATGTTCAGCCCTCACAGTCATCTTCCTCTCATGCTGGTGCCTCTGCCACGCAGGACAACCATGCCCCTCCCCTCATGTTCTGTTTCCATGGTGAAAGTGCCCGTCTCTCTAGGGGCAGCTCCAGTGGCCGAGTCTTTCTCTCCAGCAGACATAAAAGGAGACAGTCCCACGGGGACTCGACCATGTCCTATGCCCTTTATGTCCAGAATCTCCCAGTGACAGAGTTACTTAAGGGCAGTGACCCTATCTTGTGAACTTTCAGATGCCACAGCGAGCATTGTTGCAACACATGCTCAGTGTGTGTTTACCATGAGTCTGAAAACTCATCACTGCATCAGCTGCAGCCTGGTGGCAAAGCTGGAGAGCAGGGGAGCCTCCTCCGCCAACACGTCCTGGCCACACCTGTCCCCTCCCTACTCTTTCAGGCAGTTTCCAAGTCAGAGCTTCCAGCCCAAGTTGTTTAAGCATTGGCT